CAGAAACTAAGAGACCATGGATGCAAACCCAGACTACTATACCCAGCCAAGCTATCTCTCACTATCAATGGAGAAAACAAAATATTCCAGAATAAAAACAAATTTAAACAATACGTAGCCAAAAATCCAGCCTTATAGAAAGTAATAGAAGGAAAATCGCAACCCAAGGAATCTAACATTGCCAACACTGCCTACAATAACCCAGACATCTAGCGACCCTTCACAAGTACAACTCAAAGAAGGGAAACACACAAACTCTACTACACAAAAAAAATAAAAATAAAAATAAAAAAAAATAAATGGAGTCAACAACCACTGGTCATTAATATCACTTAATATTAATGGACTCAACTTACCTATAAAAAAGGCACAGACTAAGAGATTGGATACGAAAACAGGATCCAACATTCTGTTGTTTACAAGAAACATACCTCAACCACAAAGACAGACATCTACTCAGAGTAAAGGGTTGGGAAAAGGTTTTTCAAGCAAACGGACCCAAGAAACAAGCAGGTGTGGCCATTCTAATTTCCAACAAAATTGACTTCAAACTAAAATCAATCAGAAGAGATGGAGACGGACATTTTATACTCATAACAGGAACAATTCATCAGGAGGAAGTCTCAATCCTGAATATCTATGCCCCTAATATAAAAGCACCCACTTATGTAAAAGAAAAACTTCTAGAACTCAAGGCAGTCATCAAACCACACACACTAATAGTAGGAGACTTCAACACACCTCTCTCACCAATGGACAGGTCAATCAGACAGAAACCTAACAGAGAAATAAGAGAATTAATAGAGGTAATGAATCAAATGGACTTAACAGATATCTATAGAACATTCCACCCAAATAGGAAAGAATATACCTTCTTCTCTGCAGCTCATGGAACCTTCTCGAAAATTGACCACATACTCGGTAACAAAGCAAACTTCCACAGATACAAAAATATATTGGTAACCACCTGTGTCTTGTCGGATCACCATGGAATAAAGTTAGAATTCAATAACAATTCTAACACCAGAAAGCCTACAAACTCATGGAAGCTGAACAGTCAACTACTGAATCACCCCTGGGTCAAGGAAGAAATAAAGAAAGAAATTAAAGTCTTCTTTGAATTTAATGAAATTAAAGACACAACATACTCAAACCTATGGAACACAATGAAAGCAGTACTAAGAGGAAAGTTCATATCACAAAGTGCCCAATTAAAGAAAATGGAGAAAGCACACACTGGAGACTTAACAGCACACCTGAAAGCTCTGGAAAAAAAAGAAGCAGACTCACCCAGGAGGAGTAGAAGACTGGAAATAATCAAACTGAGGGCTGAAATCAACAAAATAGAAACACAGAAAACAGTCCAAAGAATCAATGAAACAAAAAGCTGGTTCTTGGAGAAAATCAACAAGATTGACAAACCCCTAGCCAAACTAATCAAACGGCAGAGAGAGAACATGCAAATTAATAAGATCAGAAATGAAAAGGGGGACATAACCACAGACACAGAGGAAATTCAGAGAATCATTAGATCTTACTACAAAAGCCTATATGCCACAAAGGTGGAAAATGTACAAGAAATGAACTTGTTTTTAGATAAGTACCATTTACCAAAGTTAAATCAAGACCAGGTGAACAGTCTAAATAGACCTGTTAGTAGCGAAGAAATAGAAGCTGTTATCAAAAACCTCCCTACCAAAAAAAGCCCAAGATCAGATGATTTCAATGCAGAATTCTACCAGAACTTCCAAGAAGAGCTAATACCTATACTCCTTAATGTATTTCACAATATAGAAACAGAAAAGTCATCGCCAAATTCTTTTTATTAAGCTACAGTCACCCTGATACCAAAACCACACAAAGACACAACCAAGAAAGAGAATTACAGGCCAATCTCACTCATGAACATCGACGCAAAAATTCTCAACAAAATACTGGCAAACCGAATCCAAGAACACATTAGAAAAATTATCCATTATGATCAAGTAGGCTTCATCCCAGAGATGCAGGACTGGTTCAACATATGCAAATCTATCAATGTAATCCATCATATAAATAAACTGAAAGAAAACACCATATGATCATTTCATTAGATGCTGAAAAAGCATTTGACAAAATTCAACACCCATTTATGATAAAGGTGTTGGGGAGATTGGGGATACAAGGATCATACCTAAATATAATAAAAGCTATTTACAGCAAGCCGAAAGCTAACGTCAAATTGAATGGAGAGAAACTCAAAGCCATTCCATTGAAATTAGGAACACGACAAGGATGTCCACTCTCCCCATACCTCTTCAATATAGTGCTTGAAGTTCTAGCAATAGCAATAAGACAACATAAGGGGATCAAGGGGATTCGAATTGGAAAGGATGAAGTTAAACTTTCGTTAATTGCAGACGATATGATAGTGTACATAAGAGACCCCAAAAACTCTACCAAAGAACACCTTTAGTAATGTGGCAGGATACAAGATCAAATCCAAAATATCAGTTGCCCTCCTATACACAAAGGATAAAGAAGCAGAGAGGGAAATCAGAGAAACATCACCTTTCACGATAGCCACAAATAGCATAAAATATCTTGGGGTAATTCTAACCAAGGAAGTGAAAGACCTATTTGACAAGAACTTTAAGTCTTTGAAGAAAGAAATTGAGGAGGATACCAGAAAATGGAAAGATCTCCCTTGCTCTTGGATTGGGAGGATCAACATAGTAAAAATGGCAATTCTACCAAAAGCAACCTATAAATTCAATGCAATCACTGTCAAAATCCCATCAAACTTCTTCACAGACCTTGAGAGAACAATAATCAAGTTTATATGGAAAAACAAAAAACCCAGGATAGCCAAAACAATTTTATACAATAAAGGAACTTCTGGAGGCATTACCATCCCTGACTTCAAACTCTATTACAGAGCTACAGTATTGAAAACAGCTTGGTATTGGCATAACAACAGAGAAGTCAACCTATGGAATCGAATAGAAGACCCGGATATTAACCCACAAGCCTATGAACACCTGATTTTCGACAAGGGAGCTAAAGGTATACAATGGAAGAAGGATAGCATCTTTAACAAATGTTGCTGGCATAACTGGATGTCAACCTGTAGACGAATGAAAGATCCATATTTATCACCATGCACAAAACTCAAGTCCAAATGGATTAAAGACCTCAACATTAATCTGACCACTTTGAACCAGATAGAAGAGAAAGTGGGAAGTAGTCTACAAGACATAGGCACAGGAGACCACTTCCTAGGTAGAACCCCAGTAGCACAGACAATAAGAGAATCAATGAATAAATAGGCCCTCCTGAAACTGAGAAGCTTTGGAGCACTGGACTGAGCCCCCAAAGTCCAAATGAGGAGCAGAAGGAGGGAGAACATGAACAAGGAAGTCAGGACCGCGAAGGGTGCGTTCACCCACTGATACAAGGGGACTGATCTAATGAGAGTTCACCAAGGCCAGCTGGACTGGGACTGAACGAGCATGTGATCAAACCGGATTCTCTGAATGTGGCTGACATGGGGGCTGTCTGAGAAGTCATCGATAATGGCACTGGGACTTGTTTTGTCTGCATGTACTGGCTTTTTGGGATCCTAGTCTGTTTGGATGTTCACTTTCCTAGACCTGGAGGGAGGAGGGAGGAACTTGAACTTCCCACAGGACAGGAAACCCTGACTGCTCTTAGGACTGGAGAGGGAGGAGAAGGAGTGGGGGGAGTGAGAGGGTATTGGGAGGAGGGGAGGAAGTAGAAATTTTTATAAATTAATAAAAAAAAGAAAAAAAAGAAATGTACTTGAACAAACAAACAAAAATATGTGTATGGGTGTTTTCAGCTGTATGTTTGTTTGTGCACCATGTGAGTGCCTGGTGCCCTTGGACACCAAAAAGGGGCATCAGATCCCTGGGACTGGAATTACAGACTACTGTGAGCCACCATGGTGGTGCTAGGAATTGAACCTGGGTCCTCTGGGAGAACAGTGCTTTTGACAATGAGCCATCTCACCAGTTCCATAATTCTCTTAAGACTTGCTTATTTTTATTTATTTATTTGTTTGTTTTTGTTTTTCAAGACAGGGCTTCTCTGTAGCTTTGGAGCCTGTTCTGGAACTAGCTCTAGTAGACCAGGCTGGCCTCAAACTCATAGAGATCCGCTTGCCTCTACTTCCCAAGTGCTGGGATTAAAGGTGTGAGCCACCACCACCCGGCAAGACTTATTTTTTATTTTATCTGGAGGCTAGGACATCAGAGCCTCTGGAACTGGAGCTACATAGTTGTGAGACATCTTCTGGTTGCTAGTAACTAAACCCCAGACCTCTCCACAAGTGTTTGTGATATTAAAAAAAATATCAAAACACAGCCAATGTGGTGATGCATGCTTGGACTCCCAGAACTTGGGAGGCTAAGACAGAAGAACTGTTGAGCCACGGAATTTGAGACTAGCCTGAGCAGTATTACAAATCAAACCAAAATCCAAGTCAAAATAAGACACTAAAAAAATCATGCAAAATAAGTCCATATCCCTCTTGGGTGACTATATAACAGACAATATTCACTTCGATGTTGGTCATGAACTACAGTGGTTAGTATTCTGTGTTGTGATGTAAAATATCAATGAATTAATAACAACAACAATAATCATGGCCTGAAGTGGCAGCACCTGCTTGTAATCCCAGCTACTTGAGAAGCTGATGCAAGAGGACTGAAATTTCAAGACCAGCCTATGTAACGAATTCAAGGACAGTCTGAGCAAGTTAGTGAGAAAGTATCTCAAACTAAAATTCTAAAAAATGACTGGGAGGAGGTTCAGTTGTAGTCCTTACTGAGGTCCTGGGTTCCATCCCCAGCATAGAGAAATAAACAAATAAATAATAGTAATTCTACAATAATCAAGTGAGATGATTATGTAGTATAATTTGCAGAACTTCAAAGAAAATACAGACAAAACTAAAATGGCCATATATTTTTCTAAAATTATAGATTAAGTATACTTACAAAATAGCTCTTCAGTCTGATAAAGTCTACAGTCATAGGAATGGATTTATCACTATTTCTATTCAGTGCTTTAATGTAATCCAGCAAGTCAGCAAAGAATTTATAGCCCCCCTTCAGCACACAGAGGGCCACAATGTGATGGCCTCCCATCTCTTTCATGACATCTCGAGCCAGTCTTTCAGTCCTGCAAAAATAAAATAAGGAATTGAAAAGAAGATTCCAAATATTTATACTTTATAACAAACACCTCTTAAGCATGACACATCCTTTGTTCCCATTAAGGGAATTCTTGCTTCATAACATATTTTTTAATAAAGTTTGGGAACTTTTTCCGTATGCCAAAGGTAAAATTTTGAGGATTGGGAAAGTGTCACAGGATCCCTCTAAGTAGCCCAGGCTGGACTATAACTCATAATCCTTGTGTCTGCCTCCCTGTGCTGAGATTATAGATATATACCAACACATACAGCTCAATCAAAATTAAAACCAGGTACATTCTAGGCATGATGATACATGCCTATAATTCCAGCACTCTGAAAGCTGAGGCAGAAGGATTGCTATGAGTTAAAGGACATCCTGAACTGCAGAATAAGTACTAGGTTACTTAAGGCTACATAATAAGATCCTGTCTCAAAGGAAAAAAAATTAAAAAACAGGTATACTATTATATCTATCACAAAATTAAAAAATACAAATAAAAACAAGATATAATTTTCAAAGCTTACTAGACTGGTGAGTTTTGCTTAAATTGTATTCCTCTAATATAAAATATTAGAAGATATTGTGAGGAAAAATGAACACACATACCACTAGAAGTATAAAATGATACAACTTTCTAGAGGTTAATTTGACAATATGAAAACATTCAATAAACATCTTTTTCTTGACCCAGAATTTCTACTTACCTAAAGCTGAGCAAGTGCCAAAATGCGTATATAGGATATTTCCTCTAACATACTCTGCTAAGTGCAAAATAATGAAGATCTTAAGTGGTCCCCAACAGTACAGACTTTCAGTTATGATACATCCATGAATAGGATAAAGTATTGCCTTTAAAATAAATGTGGGGGAACTGGGAATGTAGCTTAGCTGGTAGAGTCTATGCCTAGTACACACAGGAGGTCCTAAGTTCTATTCTCAGAACTGTACAAACTGGATATAATGGCATATCAGGAGCTGAAGCAGTAGGATCAGAAGTTCAGGTCACCCTCAGCTACACTAAGAGAGTCTGAAGTCAATCTAAGCTATTTGAGACCCCATTTCAAAACATTTCATATAACACATAAGGCTGGGCATGGTGGCACACACCTTAATCTCCACACATGGGAGGCTGTCAGGGAGAACAGCTGAGTTGAGTCTGGGCTATACAGAAGTTTAAAGCCAGACCGAGCTAAACAGTGAGACCCTATCTCAAAGAGAAAATAGTTTATGCACACACACACACGGTGTGGGATAATGCTCTTGTACACTGTAAAGATTTATCATTCATATTAGTTTAATAAAATGCTGATTTGCCAATAGCCAGGCAGAAAGTATAGGTGGGGCAATCAGACTAGGAGAATTCTGGGAAGAGAAAAGGCAGAGAGTGAGTCACTAGCCAGATGCAGAAGTAGTAAGATAGAATGCTTTATTGAGAAAAGGTACCAAGCCATGTGCCTAAACTCAGACAAGAATTATGGGTTAATTTAAGTTGCAAGAACTAGTTAATAATAAGTCTGAGCTAATAGGCCAAACAGTTTATAATTAATATAAAATAAGCCTCTATGTGTTTCTTTGGGACTGAATGGCTGCAGGACTGGGAAGGACAGAAACTTCCATCTACACATACATGAGATTATAAAATAATTTTTAAAAGATAAAAACATTTGATAGCTATAGATGTACCAATATCAAAATGTTCAAAAAATTCAGTACTATATCATAGTATATAACTCATGTGTGTGTGTGTGTATACACTTTACATACAGTGATACAGTGTATGTGCATAAGTAGTATCTAGGTAGGAAATGTGTATAGAAAGCTGACAGAACAAAATTATAATCTCATTTACAGACAGACTAGAGGCTCTTCCTACCTCTCTTCAATGTTTACTGTACTCACTATGGATTCCCACTATTTATGTCTCAAACTGGGAAATTAATTAATTAATATGACTTCCTGATGTTTTTCTTTTCATGAAAAGAACTTTAAAAATAGAAAATATTGGGGCTGAAGAGATAGTTCAGCAGTTACGTGTACTTGCTGTTTTTGCAGAGGGCCTAAGTTCAGTTCCCAGTACCCACACAGTGGCTCACAATACTCTGTAACTCTAGTTTCAGGAGATCCATCATACTTTTCTAGCCTCCCGAAATGCATATCCTGCATATTAATGCATGAAGGCACTCACACATACAAATAATATAACAACTATCTTTTTAAATAGAAAACCTTTGTTTATCAATAAGTTGGCCTAGCTTATATTCAAGTATCAACTACTCAACAGTAGCTAAGTTAGAATTATTACAAGAAAAAAAAACCTTCATTTTAGGCTAGGGAGGTGACTCAGTGAATAAGAGCACTTGTGCAAGCATCAGGACCTAAATTCAGACAACCAGTACCCATATAAAAACCAGGTTAAGCTGCACCTGCTTGTAATTTCAGTACTAGCAGCACTAGGGGACAAAGACAAGCAAACAGGCAAAACCCTGGGCCTTGCTAGTCAGGTATGCTACCCAAATCAGCATGCCCCAGGTTCAGTGAGAGATACTGATTCAAAGGAATAAGACAGAGAGCAACAGAGTACGACATCCATTGTCCTTCTCTTGTTTTTACATAAATACATACACTAAACATATACATCACATACATATACACACAGAGAGACCTAAAAAAACCCACAAAACTTCAACTGAGATCTTACCAACCTGTCCATAATCAGTCCATGAGGAATAAAGACCTTTTCCAAATCCTTGGCATAATGATTAGGTATACAAAATAAATCTAGGTCATAGCCTGGTTCGTCATCACTAATCTGAAAAAGAAAGATAGCTGTTTCAAATCAGAGCATTACAAGATACCCACATTTAATTAAATTTAGAAAATATGCCTTAGTTCAGAGAAATGTAGGTGTGAGAGGGTATGAAGGGTAGTTAATATTATATTTTTGTAATAAACGATAATTCTCTAACAAAACCATGGTCTTATTGCTGAAGAGGGTCAAGAATGAGAAGCAAAACATGACAGAATTTTCCTTCAGGTCACAAATAGAAAAAGACAAAAATTTAAAGAGGTATGACAAATGTGGTAAAAATATTTCAAACATGAAAGACTAGTATATGCAGTTTCTACTCTATACATTTTGAGCATATTTGAACACTGTTTTGTGGAGGCATATTATGCAGGTGCATGTGCATATGTGTGTGGAGTCCAGAGATTGAAACTGGGTCTAAAACTTTGTTTATGTTTTGAGACTGGGTCTCTCATTGAACTTGTTTAACCAAATTGGCTAGTCTAGCTGGTCAAGAAGTCCCAAGAATCCCCCTGTCTCTGCCTCCCTGCTGCTGGGATTATTGGAATGTGCTACTTTTTATCTAGGTGCTGGGGTTCCAAACTCAGGTCCTGAAGATGACATGGCAAGCATTTTATAGACTAAGCCATATCCCCAATACCCTAAAACATTTTTTAGCACAGTATGTTCTAATAAGTTAAATAAAATCTCATACAAAAAATGAAAACTGGTATTAACCATCCAAATCCTAAGAGTACTTATCTTACAGTGGGTGAGGGGCATCACCAAAACACCAACTGATCCTTTAAAAATCCAAACTCCCATAGTATGTGATGGTTACAATCCACTAATAAGGTAATTTTACAGAAGGTACTACAAAATCATTTTGAGTTGTATCTTATTGGTTCTATTAGTATGCCCAGAACCCAGGACATAAAACATTTAATAACATTAATGATATGGTACCCTTGGTGGCAAAATATTATGACAGTTTTATAAATATACACGTACCTATATACACAGAAAAAAAGTACAGCAGAATCATAAAAGCAGGGTAAATCTGCTGAACACACCTGTTCAGCACACCCAATACCTGGGAAGCTGAGATAGAAGTTTCTGAGTTTGAGGCCAGCATGGGTTACTAAGTAAGTTCCAGGCCAGCTAGGGTCTGTAAGGCAAAAGACCCTGTATCCTAAAAAGTATCCTAAAGCTAGGCAGTGGTGGTGCACGCCTTTAATCGCAGCACTTGGGAGGCAGAGGCAGGTGGATCTCTGTGAGTTCGAGGTTAGAAATAAAATTAAATTAAAAAAAAAGTCCTGAAACTCCAAAATCATAAAAGTAACTATCTTTGACAGGGAGTATTACAGAGAGATTGAGGGTCTCATGGATCCCAGGGCTAACCTCAAACTCACTATGCAACTGACCATCTTCTGAACCTTCTGCTTCTCCTGCCCTAGTGTTCAGACTACAAGCATATGCTATCACACCCAGTTTATGTGGTGTTCAATGTCAAACCCAGGCCTTCATGCAAGCACTCTATCAACTGAGCTACATTCTCAGTCCTTTTTACAGTGAAACGAACACCAAACAAAAAAACACGTCACACCCAAAACTACAGGAAACCTTTAACAGATCATAAATTAATCTAACAAACTTACTCAGAGAAATAAGCTAGGAAGGAAGAATTATAACACTCTTTCTTACATGATATTCAAACCCCATCTAAGAAGCTGGTAGTACCGGGAATGGTGTCATAGGAATTAGAGCGTTAATCTGCACATGGTGGCACACAACTCTAAAGCCAGCACTCGGGAGAGAAAGGCAGAAGGATTATAACAAGTTGGAGGCAAAGGTGGCCTACATAGTGAACTCTTGCCTCCCACCCAAAAAATCCTCCAAACCAAGTAGACTAAAAGAAAACCTGGCTGTATAAACTCTGGAAGTTTTCAAGGAATACAGGTCAAATCATAACTAAAGCTTGTATCAGTTAATTTCTACTTTCTCTTTCTGTTAACATTTTATTGGGTGGTTTGACTTTAAAAAAAGTTAAAAATACATAAATTTACATTCTTTGTAGAATTCAATTGTTACTGTTTTTGAGACAGAATCACACTGTATAGGCTCTTGCTGGTTTCAAACTCATAACCCTTTTCTCTACTTCCCAAGTGCTGGAACTGTAAACACCAAGCTCAGAATTTAGTTATAATTTGAAGTTTCTCCCAGAGGAAAAAAAATTAAAGCTTGGGTAGTGTCTGTCTGTCTGTCTCTCTCTCTCTCTCTGTCTGTCTGTCTGTCTGTCTGTCTCTCTCTGTTTTTAGTACCTAAAGATTTATTTTGAGTTCAACCTTTGGTAGAATTTTATTTTCATGTCTGCAGCATGTAGAAGTAAATTTTGAATTATTCCTAACTATAAATGCATTTTTCATAAACAGAAAAAAATGTTTAAAAACATGGCAATTTTTTTAAAATTTACTGATTATGAATTACAGTGTTCTGCCTGAATATATGCCTGCACGCCAGAAGAGGGCACCAGATCTCATTATAGATGGTTGTGAGCCATGTGGTTGCTAGGAATTGAATTTAAGACTTCTGGAAGAACTGCCAATGTTCTTAACCTCTGAGCCATCTCTCCAGCTCTGGCAATGTCTAAAAGAATAGAAGAAGCTAATGTATATGTATCTCCTTAACATTCACTTAATACTTCACTGGAACACATTTACTAACAAAAATGGAAATTGGACATTTGTATTAAAAGAATCATTCAAACCGGGTGGTAGTGGTGCATGCCTTTAATTCCAGCACTCGGGAGACAGAGGCAGATGATCTCTGTGAGTTCAAGGCTAGTCTGGTCTACAGAGTGAGTTTCAGGACAGGCTCCAAAGCTACAGAGAAACCCTGTTTCAAAGGAAAAATAGGATCATTCAAAGAGCATTTTACAAGAAAGCCTTTTTGTAAGTTTAATAAAGCAAAATTTAGTTCATGTTTTGGGAAATGGTGACAGACTACTCAATTTTATCAGCTAATACAACAAACATTCCTTCCAGGCTCATTAGGACGAATGCACTATAAACTGAAAAAATGAAGTTGGATCATTTCAAAGTACTTTAGAATCAAGATTAGAATATAATTACTTTTTTGAGGCATAATCACCCCATCCACCCACTCACTCTGTTTCTGGCATAAATTTTAACCATATCACACCCAGGATTCGTCAGACTACTGTTACAGGTTCTACAGGTAACCTAAGAACTTCAAGGTGTGTTTGGTTCAAAGACAAATTCAATGTGAACTTTGCCAAGTTCATCCCAGTTTTTTTTATGTGTTTAAGACGGGGTCTTGCTATATAACTCCAGCTGTCCTGGAACTAGATATATAGACCAGGCTGCCTCAAACTTGCTATAATCCTCCTGCCTCTGTTTCTTGAGTGCTGAGATTACAGGTGTACATCAACACACTCTACTCCTAGTCATGTATTCTAAGTATCCAAACAGATCAGCAGGAATCACTCCAAAATAGGAATCTTATTTCTATCAACATACCAAACTTGTTTCTAATCCAAAAGTTATGATCTCTAATAAAAAGATTTATATGTCAGAAAATTTTTATTTTGTTCTTTTGATAATATTTATGTTTTGTTATTTGAAGAGTAAAAATTTTGTTTTTGATGATTTCAGATGGTCTCAGCTCTGTAGTAGTCCAGGCTAGTCTGAAGCTCATGGCACAGCACAAGCTATCTGCAAACCTAAGGCAATCTTCCTCAGCTTCCCAAATGATGGGGTTTACAGTTATGAGCCATCATATCCAGTTTATTAAGACCATATTGATACAATTTTTCCCCAAAAGGCAAAAATAAGTCTACGACCTCTATCATTTGAGATACTTTTGCATGTTTGTATTTGTGTGGGTGTATGCATATGTGAACACAGGTGCACATATGTGGAGGCCACACCTAGCAATTTCTGTCCATTCTAGACATTTGGACATGTTGATTACTAGTTATAAAATTAAATGGTTTATCTATTATCTATTATTCTCACCTCCTCCCTTTCCTGTCTCATCACTACATAGCCTAAGTTGGCTTGGAACTCGTGGCAATCTTCCTGCATTAACCTTCCAAACTGGGATTACAAGTGTGTTCCACTACACCTGGTTTATTATTATATAAGTCTTAATTCAAAATAGTTTTCTTTTTTGAGACAGTTGCTTGAGCTCAGGCTGGCTTTGAACTCATCATGTAGCTGAGGATGACTGAACCCATCCTCTTGCCTTTGCCTCCCACGTTCTGTGATTACAGGCCTTCACCACCATACTCAGCACACATAGTTCATTTTAGGACTCACTTTCACTTAATCTAGTCTTATTTGAACTCAAGAACAATGTTATTTTTTTAACCACAAATAGACTTAAACAATCCTTGTTGTGGATGATGAATTGGTGTTCCAAAGGTCATATTAGCTTGGGTTCATTTCCTTTTTTTTAAATCGGTCATGTATCCGTGTAACAAGAAATTTCAAGTGTAAAACCCAAGAATTTTCATGTGATTCCCATTATTATAAATATGTACATAATAGGGATTTTGTGCTGGCCATGGTAGCATGTACCTATATTCAGCATTCAGAAGACTAAATCAGAAGTGTCCCAAGTTTGAGGCCAGCCTTGCCTACATAGTGAGACACTAGCTTAATTAAAATATATTAAAATTCTCCAAAAACATTAAAGCAGATGATATGTTATCGTCTTGAGAAAATTTATATTACCTCTGGATATGATTAAACAACTATTATAGTATATTGCTAAAATATTCCTAAATGTGAAAACAAACTAGTACTATGTTGATCTTCCAATTTTTTTAATCAATCCTAAAAATACATATATTGCTTCTTTTCCTTCCAAGGGTTAAAGCTATGAGAAATTAAAAATAAGGAAGTAGGCTGATTATTCAGCTCAGTGATATGGGATTCCCCTCTGTATGCTATGAATATGTTTTATTACCTTTGGTTAATAAAGAAGTTGCTCTGGCCTAT